TTTTTTTCTCCAAACTTTAAGGAAGCATAGTATTAAAGCTATATAAAAGATTATAGTGCCTTGTATATTGACTGAGACAGCAGGTGCTATCATTCCCCTGATCAGAATGGTGAATCATAAACAATGCGTAAGAAGTTTCTGTTGCTTTCTGCTCTAACCTCTGTTATTTCTTGGAATCAAATCTCGAATTTCATCTTCAAGATAAGTCACACTACCATTCCTAAATTATGAAGTACTACGCACGTATTTCGTAAAAGCTGGAAAAAGGATTAACAAGGCGAGTCTGTTTACGAACATAATTCTAGTAAAAAATGATAAAAACTCAGTAGCTTTTGCCGAATATAAATTAATATTTGATGTTGATATTAGGTAAACGACCTAGCGGAAGTTCTGCTTGAAAGGAAGGACATTCAAAGCTCATAGCGTAGGGGTACGTCCGGTTGAAAATCTTACAATATCAGGAGTATATATTTCGCATCAAAAACTCCACCGTTAAATTTATAGTTCCGTTGTCCAAGCTTTTGTTATGCTGTTTAAAACAACGATAACTTCGAAATAAATAAGGAATTTCAATCAATATATAAGTGCAAAGCAGGATAAGTTGAGTCACCCACCGTGTTCATATGGAGAAAAGGTGCCGGCATCAATATTGAGGTAGGGATCGATTTTAATGGCAGACACCTAAACTTCTGGGAGAATGAAATGCAGTCGTCTGGAACTTGGAGGAAGGTCTTACTCGATAACCGTTATTTTTGAGCAATACACCAATGCTCGACGAGATAATTCCTTTTCCTACGCCACTGATGACGCCACCGGTTACTAAAATATATTTCATCGGTGTTTCATGATCACCGTCACCATTTGGCAGCCCATTCTCAAGCACCATCTGAAAGAATGTGTGGCCGCAATAACCTCAAGAATGAGATTAATAAACAACGTCTACTTATGTACAATGTTTTAATACAAAAGAAATTATTCGATGCAAGATAGACTAGGATAATCGAACGACGATACTGGTGACATTTGAACGTTCGCTTTACTTCAAATTTGTTAAGTGTTAGATCACTCCACGCAAAAGTGCACCATGCGCGATGCAGAACGCTCCGCTTATCACCGCGTTCAAAAATCCGAAAATTTCAAAGCAAATATTCACAAATGAGTATGTTGTGCTCATCTGGTTCTAATGAGCTGCATCTGCGAGGCGCCCTCTTTGCACCAGGTCTTTTTAATAGCAGGATGATGATCTGGGGAACTACAAAGTG